AACACACTCGGTCCACGCTGGCTGTCGAACACAACAAACGGTTGCTTCTCCTCAAAACAAACAATATAATATATATATATTATATGTATCAAATTGTTTGCGCCCATTTGAACATCTATTCCATTGTGTTAATTACAGAGTAACGGTCTCTTGGGCCTCTTTCCCTCCCTAACGGACCAAGACCCGCAAGGAGGCGAGTCCAGCAGAGAATGGGGTTAAAATAAGAACCCATGACAAAAAAAAAAAACATTACCCGTTGCCCGAGGCCCACCTGCGACCTATTCCTGGCTCACCGAATTAAGGCAAAAAAAAAGAAGAAAACAATATTTTTTTCCTATTGGAAGAAGTGGACACATTGGACGTACCTCAGGACGCACACACACAAAAAAAAAAAAAAAATTACCATTCTTAATCTCTGTTATTTCCTGCGAATTTTCTTGGTGCTGTACTCAGCGACGTTGTAGCACTCATCATTTCAGAAAGAAGAGAAGAACATGTGCATGACGTGGGGAAAAAACAGAAAGAAGTCAGAAAAAAAAAAAAAGGGGGCCATGAAAACCACAACGACGCAAACACCGCCGCTTCATTTGTCCAGCGACAAAAGTTGACATCCCCCACGACCCCTCACTTGTGCGGAGACCCCGTAAAGACACAACTCCAACCCACAAATAAGGCCCAGCTGCCCCCAAAAGAGTCAACTGGGAGAACAAAAGTTGAAAGGATCACACACACACCTCTTCCACAGAAAATCCAATGGTTAAACAACCAACCAAACACAAAAAGAAAAAAAAAACTAACGTTTTGTAATCACAGGGAGTTATCACTGTTTCAGTACATCTGCTTTATCCATCTATATATTTTATTCATTAAATGACTATTATTATTTTAAATTTATACTTATAGGCCTCTGCTTTTCCTCACCACCATACACAGCAAGATCTAACATGTTGCCCAAGCTGCACATATGTAGATAATTTCTTTCTTGTCATAAATGCGTTTTTATATATTTTTTTTATTTTTATTTTTATTTTTATTTTTTTATATTTTACATTCTGAGACGGAAAACATAAAAAAATATTACGCACAGCTCATGATGAAACATGAATCCAACGGGAAAAAAGGACGCGGTGATATAGAAAACAAAAGAGTCGTAGCTACAATTAACCAGCCACCAAGTCAAGCAAGCCGGCAAGTTCATAAGACCATCGTTTGGAATCATACGATTATGTGATAGATGGTGGATGTCGTTCCGAAGCCGATGACAACAATACCAGCAAATAACAGCGCATAGGTGGAGGTGTAGATAAAAAAACCAGACTTTGCGTACGAGAAGCCACCGGCATACATTAAGTAAATTGCGGGAAAGACAAACGCGATGAATGAACCCGTCAGTGAGCCAAGCAGGCTAAGCACAATGTTAATGTTCGGAATAAACAGACCGGCAATAAGCGCAATGACAGACAAAATGGTGCAAAGCGCTGCATTCTTCCACCACGCCACTTCATCCAGAGACCAACCCAAAAGATGGTGGATCGAATCACGGCAAGGAAGAATGTGGAGCGCAAAAGCCACGCAAAGCTTCACAAGCACGCCCACATACGCGATGAACATCATTACATCGTGCAACGGCTTATACATCCTCAGAATAGAGGATGTCACATCTGGACCAAACTCCGCGTAACCAAAGAAACCAGTGAACCACAACAATACAGTGCAAATAAACATACTTATTGCTGTCTCCATGGTCATTTGGGACACATTTCTTCTCGGCTTCATTTCATTCCAAACCTCATACATGTTACTTTGGCAAAGATACGCAAACATTAAGACTCCAAGTCCTTGAATGCCATCATTCCCACCCCGGACAAGATAAAGATCTTCCCGCACTCCGTTCTCGAAGCCATACATCGAACAGTGGATAACGACGGTGATAACGAAGTACAAAAGAAACACCACTGCAAACATTGAGACATGCCTCAGGGAGTTGATTCGCTTCGGGAGTGACAACGGCAGCATGAAGATGAGAAAAAATATGCTCGTGAGAATACGGTTCCAGCTTTTCGTTCTCCAATACCCGGTCACGGAGTCGTCGGTGAGAAACGCGGAGATGAGATCGCTAACGGAAATGACATACGCGATGCATGCACCAAAGCATTTCCCAAACATGACCACTGCAACGAAAACATCTCCGCCTCGACCAAGTATTCGAGCACCCGTCTTCTCATAGCTGTGAATGCCGGTCTTAACCGCAGTCCTTGCCAAAAGATTCATGGACAACACAGTGAAGAGGTAGATGATGATCAAATAAATGGTGCCCGCCACAACACCTGAATCACGAAATGCGGTGGGCAGGCCGAGGATGCCAGCACCAAGACTTCCTGCGGCTAGATTAAAAACACCGGAAAGAGTCCCACCATCAGGAACCAGTCTTTCTGCAAAGCGTTGAAGGCAGTTTAAATGCTTTGGAGGACCAAAGTTATCAGAAAGCTGGTTGGACACCGGCGGGGACCCAGGGGATTCTTCACATGGGGGGCTGCAATTGAGCGGTGACACCCGAGCTGTCATGTTGCTTGCTTGGCTTGAGGTACCCTTAATCTCCACAAAGCAATAAACTTCACAATGGAGGGAGAGATGCGTAAGCCATGGGGGAAGATCAATGACAAAATGCACACACACACTCGGCAGGGTGAAGGTCACAAAGACATCGAAAAGAAAGGGAAGGTCAACAGGCGCACACATACGCAAATTGAAGTAAAAAGAAAATGGGTACCCCCAAAGCAGCCCAACCCCCACTTAGGCCGTGAATAAAATAACCCAAAGAAGGAAAATAGCGTCGCACAAAAAAGGAAATATTTTGAAGGAAAACCACGAAGCTGTGTTCTGTATCGCATGCAGTTGCTCAGGTACATAGCACTGTGGCACAGTCTCGCTAAGAAGAGTAACAGTTGAGGCAACAGACTCCTTCGTTTGTCGGTATTTCTTCACCACTCATAGCGCACGCCTTACAGGCATTCTTCCCGCATATACAACATTCAATATCGCATTTCTGACACACCCAGCACCTGCATATACTACAGGCCCCATCTGTTTCAGCTGTGCAAAGGACGCATTTTGTACCCTTATTTTTTTCCTGTCTGCTCTTGCTGAAGGGAGTCTCAGTTGCTCGGGCTATTGAATACTCGTCGTCCAACATATATAATGCCATCGGACCAAGTACAGTCTGTGGCAAAGGAAGACCGCAAAGGCAAACCGTAACACTACGTGTTAAGGTGTCGATGTAGATAAACGGCGCATCGTCATGTTTGCCAATATTCGTCATTGCCAGAACAAGGTGCTTGGGGTAAACCATCAATTCTCGCTCCAACTGGAACACTCTACGTGCAATTTGCCCTAAAGCATGGCAAGAGCAACGAAAAGGGCCGTGGTAACTGCAGGGGAGCCATGGTCGCTGACTAAGAAGTTGGTCACACGGTCGGTTCACGTCGCTAAGGGAGAGCAAATAGTGCCCATTCATCACACCAACTACACGTGGTGCAAAGAAGAACGTGAGTCCTGGAAAAGTTTCCTCATCGAACGTCTCAATATCGAACGACCTGTACAGCGGAACGAGGGCGTTCCAGTCACCGTACGAAAGGTACGCGCAAAACTTTCCACCTCCGTCCTCGCCTGCTTCTCTTTGTCGCTTTATGCCCATTCATCAATACGGCAAACTGAAGAGTAGGCATCTCGCAAGACAGAACACACATGGGCAAGAAGAAAAACACACAAGAACAATAACAACAAGAAACGTCCACAACACAGCGAAGCACTTCGTATGGACGTTCTCGCAGAGAGACAAACAACCATTCTCCACAAAAAGCAAATACCACAAGATGATAAATAAGAAAGGGTAAAAGAAAGAAAGAAACAATGTGTAAAAATACCCATTTACCAATACTTTAACACCGATGCGCAAGGAAAAGTATGAGGCGCATCAAATCTGTGCGAAAAACCAGTTGAGCAACACCTCACGCTCCTCTGCACCTGCGAGTCGATACAACCGTATCAACTGAATCAACCGGGTCAAGTTGTGTATCACTAAAAGTGTCTTACTGTTCATCTCTTGCACTGTAAGAAGATGATGAATATATGCACGCATATGCCGTTTGCAAGTGTAACAGTTGCAGTCTGGCGAAAGTGGTCGAATATCTTCCGCGAAGCAGTCATCATTCAAGTCTATCTGTGTTTCATACCGTGAAGGAGAGACACCTTCTGTTGGGCATAGATCGAATACCATGCCTATTCCCTTCTCTGCCAATATCCATGGGAGTGCACACTCAATAAAGCACACATCATCTCTCAAACACATTAGTACTGCTGGTAGAGAAATCGCAGCACACATCACCTGCCCTTTCTTGACGGCCTGTTGTATATGGACTGTGTATTCTTGTAAAGTCTCATTTTGGCAAAGTTCCTCCATAAAAATATACTCGCCCTTGCCCTCCACAGCACATACAGGCCTCATTAGCTTCCAGTTACCTTGGGCATGAAGGGAGTCTGCGGACAATGCCCATTTTACTGAACGGCCCACTGCTGTCCGTCGGCGCTTTACCTGAAGCTCATGCGTTGAAACAGAATCATAGGGAGTAACGATCATTGTTGGTTGAAGAGACAAAACCATTTCCTTCCATTTATCCATACCCAAAGAAATGCGGCCCTTTTCATGGTTTGCAGACAATCCTGCGTCCGTCGCCGGGATGCTGGCATGCATGCCAATGTGAGGACTGCGCACAGTGAGAATGGTGGTAAAATTCTCCAGCCCACAGAATTCTGCGAATCCCCGTTTTGCTCTTTTGCAGGGTTCCACATATTCGCTTACATCAAAGATGGACACACTTATCACCCTCTCTTCCTCCTTCATAATCGCCCTTGCCTGATCAGGCGTCAAACACGGAATACCGCCTCTTTTGCAAGGGACGACCAACAGGGGGTAACAGTTGGCCATTAACAGCTGTAATCACTTTCCACACAGGGCGGAAGGACGAAACGCATCAACAAAACACAAATACCCCCCCCCCCACACACACAAACAAAAAAAAAAAAGAAAA